CAAGCAAAAAAGAGCGGAGAAGGCACGTCTCAGAGCAAAACATAAGCTGGACTTCTTGACAGCCAAAAGGAAAGAGCTGCTAAGCAGCTCTTCTGGAAGTTCTTCCAGCGGCTCCAGTTCCTCGAGCGAAGACTGAGAAAAATGCAGTAGCGACATGCTGTGCACATTTGCCGATGGTTCATTTTCACAATGCATTCTTCCGAAGAATGGCTGGCGATACAAGAAAGTTGCTTCTTCATTATTCAAGATGATGGTTTATGTATTAGCGATACCCCCCCCCCATATATCACACAAGTGAAGTAAGGCGAAACTGTGGTGAGCGATGGGACCTTCCCAAATTTGTTGATGGCAGCTTCGGCAACCTAGAGTTTAGCAAGTCGCACATATAGTGTAGCGTAATGAAATGTAATGCAATGCAATGTAATGTAATGTAATGTATGTATGTGTGTATGTGTGTATGTGTGTATGTATGTATGTACTGTATGTACGGATGTATGTATGTATGTATGTAATGTATGTATGTATGTATGTAATGTAATGTATGTACGGATGTATGTATGTATGTATGTAATGTATGTATGTATGTATGTAATGTAATGTATGTATGTATGTATGTATGTATGTATGTCTGCATGCATGTAATGTATGTATGGAATGTATGTATGTATGTAATGCAATGTAATGTAATATAATGTAATGTAATGTAATGTAGTGTATGCATGTATGTGTGTATGTGTGTATGTATGTATGTATGTATGTAGGTAGGTAGGTATGTATGTGATGTGATGTGATGTGATGTGATGTGATGTGATGTGATGTATGTATGTATGTATGTAATGTATGTGTTTGTGTAATGTATGTATGTATTGCAATGCAATGCAATGCAATGCAATGCAATGCATGTATGTGTGTATGTATGTATGTATGTAATGTATGTATGTATGTATGTAGGGAAGTAGGTATGTATGTATGTATGTATGTAATGTATGTATGTAATGTATGTATGTATGTATGTAATGTATGTATGTATGTATGTGTGTATGTATGGAATGTATGTAATGTATGTAATGTATGTATGTATGTATGTATGTGTGTATTTATGTATGTATTCAATTTATGTATGTGTGTATGTATGTACATATGTACCGTGTGTATGTAATGTAATTTAATGTAATGTAATGTTATGTAATGTAATGTAATGTATGTATGTATGTATGAATGTATGTAGGTAAGTAGGTAGGTATGTATGTATGTATGTAATGTAATGTGTGTAATGTATGTACGTACGTACGTATGTATGTATGTATGTATGTAATGTATGTATGTATGTATGACTGAATGCATGTAATGTAATGTAATGTATTGTGAGGTATGTATGTATGTATCTATTTACTGTATCTATGTATGTATGTATGTAATATGTATGTATGTATGCATGTATGTATGTATGTATGCAATGTTTTTATGTATGTATGTACGTATGTATGTATGTATGTAGGTAAGTAGGTAGGAATGTATGTATGTAATGTAATGTATGTAATGTATGTATGTATGTATGTATGTAATGTATGTATGTATGTAATGTAATGTAATGTAATGTAATGCAATGTATGTATGTATGTACGTATGTACGTACGAAATGTATGTATGTATGTAATGTAATGTGATGTAATCTGATGCATGTATGCATGTATGTATGTAATGTATGTATGTATGTACCTATGTATGCATGTATGTATGTATGTATGTATGTATGTATGTATGAAATGTATGTATGTAATGTATGTATGTATGTAATGTATGTAATGTAATTTATGTATTGCAATGCATGCATGCATGTATGTATGTAATGTGTGTATGTATGTACGTATGTATGTATGTATTTATCTATTTCTTGTATGTATGTATGTAAATGTAATGTAATGCAGTGTATGTATGTATGTATGTAATGTATGTATGTATGTGATGTATGTATGTACGTATGTATTTATGTATCTATGTATGTATGTATGTATGTAATGTATGTATGTATGTATTTATGTATGTAATGTATGTATGTAAGTATGTATGGAATGTATGTAATGTATGTCTGTATGTAATGTAATGTATGTATGTATGTAATGCAATGCAATGTAATGTGATGTAATGTAATGTCATGTAATGTATGTATGTATGTATGTAATGTATGTGATGTAATGTAATGTCATGTGATGTCATGTCATGTAATGTATGTATGTGTGTGTATGTATGTACTGTATGTATGTATGTATGTAATGTAATGTATGTATGTATGTATGTTGTATTTAATGTATGTATGTATGTATATATGTACTGTCTGTAAGTTTGTATGTACGTAATGTATGTATGTACGTATGTATGTATGTATGTATGTTTGTTTGTATTCATGCAATGTAATGTAATGTAATGTAATATGTATGCATTTATTTAATGTATGTATGTATGTAATGTATGTATGTACGTATGTATGTTTGTATGTATCTATGTATGTTTGTATTAAATGTAATGTAATGTGATGTAATGTAATGCAATGTATGTAATGTATGTATGTATGTATGTGTTTATGCATATGTATTTACGTTTGTAGGTATGCATGCGTGTATGTATGCATGTATGTATGCATGTACGTATGCATGTATGTATGCATGTATGTATGCATGTATGTATGTAGGTTGTGCATTTTTTGAATGTAATGCGATGCAATGTAATGCAATGTGATGTCATGTAATGTACCGTAATTTAATGCATGCCTGCATGCATGGATGTATGTAGGTATGTAATGGATGTATCCATGTACGTATGTAATGTATGTATGTATGTGTGTAATGTAATGTAATGTATGTATATATGTTTGTATGTATGTATGTATGTATGTATGTAATGTATGTCATGTATGTGATGTATGTATGAATGTAATGTAATGTAATGTAGTGTATGTATGTATGTACTGTATGTAATGTAATGTCATGTGATGTGATGTGATGTGATGTAATGTAACGTATGTAAGGTATGTATGTATGTACGTACGTATGTATGTATGTATGCATATACGTATGTGTGTAATGTGGTGTAATGTAATTTATGTATTGCAATGCATGCATGCAGGTATGTATGTAATGTGTGTATGTATGTACGTACGTATGTATGTATGTATGTATGCGTGTATGTATGTATGTATGTAATGTACGTATGTATGTATGTATGTATTTAATGTATGTATGTAAGTATGTATGTGTGTATGTAATGTATGTTTGTATGTATGCCATGTTTTCATGTATGTATGTACGTACGTACGTATGTATGTATGTATGTATGTATGTTGCAATGTGATGTCATGTAATGTACTGTAATGTAATGCATGCCTCCATGCATGGATGTATGTATGTATGTATTGGATGTATCCATGCACGTATGTAATGTACGTATGTATGTGTGTAATGTAATGTAATGTAATGTAATGTAATGTAATGTAATGTATGCATGTATGTATGTTTGTATGTGTGTATGTATGTATGTAATGTATGTAATGCACATAATGTATGTAATGTATGCATGCATGAATGTAATGTAATGTAATGTAGTGCATGTATGTATGTATGTAATGTAACGTAATGTAATGTAATGTAATGTATGTATGTATGCATGCATGCATGTATGCATGCATGTGTGTATGTGTTTATGTCGTGTATGCATGTATGTATGTGATGTGATGTAATGTAATGTTATTTAATGTAATGTAATGTACTGTAATGTAGTGCATATAATCCATGTTTTCTTGGTTTTCTGTTTGTTTGTTTGTCTGTCTTTCTGTTTGTCTTCCTGTTTGTCTGTCTGTCTGTCTGTCTGTCTGTCTGTCTGTTTGTTTGTCTGTCTGATTGCTGCGTTTCGCCTTGGTTTTGTCTGATTGTTTTGCTGGTTTGTTTGTTTTGTGTTTGTGTGTTTGTTTGTTTGGTTTGTTTGCTGAATTGTGTTTGTTTGTCTGTCTGTCTGTCTGTCTGTCGGTTTGGTTTGGTTTGGTTTGTTTGTCTGTGTGTTGTTTGCTTGCTTGCTTGCTTGCTTGCTTGTTTATTGGTTTGTCAATTTGTTGGTTTGTTGGTTTGGTTGTGTGTGTGGCTATTTGTGTATGTGTTTGTTTGGTTGGTTGGTTGCGTTTCTGTTTGTTTGTCTGCCTGGTTGTTTCTCTGTTTGTCTGTCTGCTTGTTTGGTTGGTTGGTTTGATAGTTTGTTTGTATGTGTGTTTGTTGGCGCGTTTGTGTGTGCACGTGCGTGCATGTGTGCGTGCGTGAGTGCCTGCGTGCATTGTGTGTGGGAGTGTGGTGTGTGTGTGTGTGTATTATGTTCGTTGTTGTGTTGTCCTATGCGCTGTTGGGTTGGGAGTTGTTGTGTTGTGCCGTATTATGTTGCGTTGCGTTGGTTGTAATGTGTTGTGTTGCGTTTGTTTGGGCTGTAATGTGTTGGGATATGTTTGGTTGGCTTGGGAGTTTTCGCGCTGATTTATTTTTTGTGTTGTTGTGCCTGTGTAGGTGTGGAGTTGTTGGCGGGCCATGCTCACTTGAGACGTCCCCTTGTGCACTTAGGGTGCTTTGGTTCCTTGAGAAGACATGTTCAACCACGATCACTACGGTACACTGGGAGAAAAACTGAATTTTGGGAGCTGAACCCCGTTGGCGTGTTTGTGGCCATTGATCATGGGGCCGTGGAAAGTGTGATATTGAAGGAATGCCCCTTTAAAGGGACAAGTCATAGAGATGGCGCAACCCCTGGTACACATGGAAGGCTCCCAGAAGGCCGATTTCGCAGAATGAAACCTTTGGTCTTCCAAAGGGGTCTGTTCGGGAGAGGGCTTCCTTTGGTGCCCAAAGGCCAACTAACCAAGAGGAAAGTCTATTTTTCCACAATGGTCTGTGCACCAGCCCATCTTCGCTGGGAGGGTAAGCGCGAAAAGCTCCGACGCCCGCGGCGCAAACAAAAAAAAATCCGAGGCGACGGGCCGAGCGGGAAGCCGGACTGGCACTGGCCTCTCTGCCAGGCCGGGCCGGATTCCTTCCGCATGTTGACGGATTAAGCAGAATTTCGGTTGATTATGGGGGTGTTCAACGGTTCCCCTCCAGTGGTCTGAATCCCCAGGACACCCCCAGAATGAACAGGGGTTCTGCTTAATGCGGGGTCAACATGAGCTAGGGCTGGCGAAGGGCTGGGGTCGAACTGCCTTCTTGATCCATGCCCCCGACTCGGATTCCGGTTCCGGTTTCGGTGCTGTGTGGGTGTGTTTCTTTTTGTTTTTTTTCACGGGTTTGCTGGTTGGGTGGGGTTTTCTCAGGTCCCGAGTTCCTGACTTCTTGGGCTTGTTGGGTTTGGACCTTTTGTTGGTGGCAAGCCAAAAGCTCGGACCTTTTTTGGCCAATCCACTGAGATCTATTCGGCTCGACAGGTAAGTTTGCCGTGTGGCTCCGAGTCTTCGAGAATCCCGGATTCCTCATACAGATTATATTTCTTTGTATTGCTTTGTCAATGGGGGTTTGATCAAAAGGTCCGAGATACATTACATGGGATGACCATTGGGAAAGCCACGAAAAAGACAAACTATTTCTCTCCTGGGAACAGTCAGTCGCAGTGAATATTGATCAATCCCCAAGTATGGTTGGTTATGGCTGCTGGTTTATGGTGCCTTCAATGACAAACAAGAGACAGTTCAGCCATTGGAAGCGGCAAGCTGCAACCAACCAATTGGCCTGAATGCAGATGGAAAGACCATGGCGCATGGCTCCGAACATTTAGCCGTACATTTCCTACCAAGAGCCAGCATTCGGAGTTTGTAGGTTGGTAACCCAGAGGTCCAAGTATAGTATCTTCTAAGGAGGTACTCAGACCCCTTTTTACCCCCCAAAAGCCATCCTCATAAAAAGCCAGATCCTTGCCCGCAACTGGAGAAAAAAGTGGATCGCCTGTAGCAGGGGTTCCTCCGAACCTCTAAGAAGGACCAAGCCACAAGTGTTGGGGACGAGCGTCCTCGTGGTCCTCCAGTGACGACTACAGGTAACCAACCACCTTCTTTGGTGTGAAAGCAAGCCCTTAGGTGTCCATTTACTATAGCTGCAAACAACCCCCCTTAGATTGCACCTACTTTTGGGCGAACCCCATTTCTTAGGATCTCTTTTTTTTGGTGTTTTACTAGAACTGCCAAAAAAAAAACCACGTGACTCTAAGTATCGCCGTGTTTTTTTTTTCCCTTCGGTTCCCTCCGGCCAACAAAACCCCCGCGGGCTCGAGTCGCGCTCGCGGCTCGCAGGTGGAGCCGCAGAGCCCGGTGGGCTCCGTGGTGTCGATGGAGCTGAACCCGACCCCGCGACTGGAGCTGGTGAGCTACAACGCCGCCGGGGGACCTAAGGATCACCAAACGAAACGCCAGCCTCTGGTAAAAAGTTGGCTGAAGGTCTCTTGGTGAAGCAAACAACAACATATACTTTGTATAACTGGGCCTAACTCTAATCTTGGATCACTCAGCCCGTGGTTTGCTTGGTCGGTTAGGGCGACTTGCTGGCTTGGACTCGAGTCACTTAGTGTGAAGAACAACAGTTAGACTTCAGGACATGTAGCACCACAAAATTTGAGTCTATTAATACCCTAGGTTCCGCAATAATGCCCTTTTACCAACTTTTTTGGGGGAGGAAAAAACCTCTCTGGTGGTAAAAAGTTTGCTTAGTGTCTCTTAGCCTCTGGTCGTAAAAGGTTTGCGTGGTCGCTGGGTTAGGGCGACTTGCTGGGCTCGAAAAAGTCAATTGGTGTGAAGAACAAAAGTTAGACTTCAGGACATGGAGCACCGCGAAAAGAATGAGTCTATTGGTACCCTAGGTCCCCCAGCTAGGTTAAGTTGTTGCCAACTTTTTTGGGTGGAGATTCGGTTCCCCTACTAAAATAGGCTACAGAAAAAAAGTTGGTACCCTTATTCTCACCTCTCTACTGGAGGACCTAGTTTCTTCGCCTTGACAAGGCTCTCATTCTCAAGTCGATGGCTCATGTCCAGCACAAACCGGAACATCGGCTCCTTACCACTAATTTTGAGTGTATAAGTACCACTAATGTTGGCTTCCTTATATTTTTCGTCTGAAGCTCAGAGTTTGGCCAACTTGGGAAGCGAGCGGTTCACTCTCTCAGCCTCTGACTGGTTTGTTTGGTGAGGTCATGGGGCTGGTCCCAAGACTAGAACAGATCCAAAGCCCCGAGCCACTAAGCAATAGCAAAAACAGTAAAATATATATCATATAAGTCTGGATGTTGTATGCGCCATATTCCACTTTGTATTAGTTTCTGGAAGTAAAGTCATATCTTATGTATGTATTGTTTAATTTGTATTTTGTGTTTTATTGAAGAGTTCATTGCTTAGGAGAAAGCTTATCTTTTTAATAGACAGTTCTCTCTTTGTTAATCAATAATATATTTATAGTTTATGTTGTTCATCTTCTCGTTTTGATGTTGTTTCTTGTATGTACTATGTCGTTGGTTGTTGGATTTGTATCATTCATCGTTTTGTTACTTAGTTATGACTTTCTTACTTATTCATCCTTATCTAATGCCTTTACGTCTGCAATCTTTGCAAAGATATGTAAGAAAGAAATAATATTTTAGACATTGCGAATTCACAACTTATTATCTTATTATCCAATATGATTTTCACATATTTGTATTAATTATTTTCAGAATTGAACAATTCTTAGCTTAAACAGTTAGGAAGAAAAGAGAAAGAACAAGAAAGTGAATTAGCATGTCATACTTTATTATTTGCATGTTTATTTATTGTTGTGGGTTCCCGGATTTGTAGACCTGGCCTGAACGCACCTGTTCAGCAATTGGGGATATGAAACTAACGGTAAAGCTCATTTGGCGCCGTCAGCTAGGGCGCGATTGTCTATCAGATGGGAAGTGCACAAACAGAAAGGAAGCCCACGGGTTCAGTGGAAAGGAGTAAACCATGATCGCCCATTGTGTTTTCGTAGCAGGGCTGTTGTTTTCGGTGACTCAGTGTATTTGAGGGTCAAATCGACCTCCAGGCAAAAAAATGTAGGTCATGGAGGCGACCTTCTCATGAATACGAGAAGAAAAAAACACAAAACACAGCAACTTGGCTATCTAGGGGCGAGTTCTCCGTAGGGAATCCATTTCGGGGTTTCGAATGAACCGCTTGGGATCCAAAATCGGAAGCCGCAAGTCGAATCACTCACGGGTCATTTTTTCCGAGAACCAGCAAGCGTCAGACAAACAGAATACAATCAACGGGTTTCAGCTACGGACAAGGTGGCATTTGAAAGGGGTTCCCCATTTCAGCACGGGTCATACAAATGCTCTCGCTTTCTGTCTTTCCCATGCATCCGGAAGGCATCCAGTGGAACAGGGGTCACCCATCCGCGTCTCCGGTTTTCCATGTCTCCTTTTTGCAGATTCTCGGCAGGGAATGAGAAGTGGAATGAATCATAGATAAACCATGGAATTCATGGTTTCCTTTCTTCGGGATTCCCCCCAAAACCGGCTCATGACCCCAACACCCGGACTCCCTGTCCTTCCCTCATCAGCAATTTTGTGCGGCCCAGCAAGTCAAACATGGTCGCTTCCTTTTCAAACTGCACCCTTTCTAGGTCCCCCAGTAGTGCCCTTTTTACCCTTTCTGGGGGGGAGGGTTCCCCTACTAAAATAGACTGAGAAAAGGTACCCTTATTCTAACCTCTCTACTCAAACACCTAGCTTTCGTTTCCTATTCCTGTGTCCCATGGGTTTTGAAGCCCGTCTTCTTCGTTTGGGACTGGCAGGTGCCGGTCCAGGCGCTCATGGAGGTCTTCCTCGCGGACGAGCGCGACATCCTGCGCGCGCGCATCTTCGACTCCCCGAGCTTCCGCCAGTTCCAGGCCATGCGGGAGACCCTCGGACGGCACGAGCAGAGGTCGCAGTCAATTGACACATGGAGGTCTTGGCGGCGAAGCCGGCCATCCGGTTCTGGGGGGTTCATCCAAAAGGGGACTTCCACTTTCTGGGGGGTTCATCCTTTAGCTTCTTAGACTTTTAGCTGGTTTTCTGGGGGGGGTCCATTTGAGACTAGAGGTTAAACTTTTTAGCAGGGGATCTCAGGGCAGCCCAGAGGTCGCCGTCTTTCCTTTGAGGAGTCTACCGTCTTTTGGCTGGGTTTCAAGGGAAGCCAAGAGGAACACCGAAGCTATGTTGGGGGGTCAGATACAAAACAACACACCTATATAATATAAGAAAAGAACAACATACTATGGGTCGATCAATCTTCCGGGTGTGCCGTTTGTTAGGGGACCCCCTAAAATGGTGGTTGTCCTGTTGGTTTCTCTTCAAAGCCAACCAAAAGGGGTACCCTCAAAAAGAGACACACCCAGATATAAAGAAAAAAATACAGGGATTGATTAATATTCCGTTCGGCCCCAAATCACAATGGGTAACTTTTTCCCATGCGGGAAAGTCATCTTTTTTGGTGGTTCCCCTACTGGTTATCCCATGCAAAGCAACGCCCATATAGGTATGTTTTCTTCTTCTGTATATGAATCCTGAAAGGAGGAATTTAGAGAACCTATCATGTTGTATGGGTAGCGAACGGGAACCATGACCACCGCAGTCGGCAGTCCCCTTTTGCGTGGTTGTAATGGATCTCTGAGCAAGCCTGAGTATGAGTTTAAGCAAGTCCCTCTCGGTCCCCCAGTAGTGCCCTTTTACCAACTTTTTTGGGGGAGGGTCCCCTACTAAAATAAACGTCCTGAAAAAAGTTGGTACCCTTATTCTAACCTCTCTACTGGAGGACCTAGCTCTAAGTCCTGTGTGCACCCCTGAATGAGACCTTTAGACAACCATTGTGAGGCACCATAACTTCTTGTGACCATGGCCACACAAAAGGGATTCAATGTGGGGGGTAACTAGAATGTTGCTTCTATGGATCATGATTTGTATTGTTTCTCGTACCCCAACCCCCATTCCAAATCTATTAGCAAGAAATAGCATCTAGCAAAACGTGGTTCAACCTGGCCCCCCAAAAGTGTAATCCAAAGGTACCCTTGGACTTAGCCTGAAAATATCCCCAACTAGAAAGGGTACCATACCGGTTCGTGGCGCCTGTCCCCAGAACCCAAAAGGTGAACGACTCAAGGCTCTGAGCCCCTGCGTTCGAGGATCCTTCTAGCAGGGGACACGAACCGACTAGTGGCGGAGCTGACCTTTGTGCGCATCAACGACCTGGCGGCGTCTTTGAACAACTTCTGGGGGTTGATTCCTTGCCCATTCTTTTCAACCATCGTTCTTTTCAACAGACAGCTGTTTCCCCCCGGTTTTTGATGGTTTCCTGAAACGAAGGATCCATGGAAAGAATGGAATTGGAAGGTACCTCTAGAAAACTGATGGCACACTCGTTGGGCAAGATTTGTTCCACCAGGCCCTCACTACGCTTTTTCAGGGGAAGCAAGCGGGTGTTCAATTCATGGGTCTTGTCTAACGGGTGCAAAAGGTTGTCCAAACACGGGGTGTTTCACAGCTTCACATAGTTACAAGCGTGTTCTCTGAGAGAAGCGAAGTCGTAAAGTCGACAGGACGTGTGTTTGACTCGGACAGCCGCCCATATGCTTATGTGTTAAACTAGAAATCCAATAATGGCGGCTTTCCTGCGTTCTCGTTCAAGCAACCTGCAAATGGTACCTTCAAAATCGCAAGCCCATGTAGCCCTTTCGACATACCGCATGTCAAGGCTGCTTTGAGCCTTTTTCTGCCGGGTTGCTTTCCTTCTCTTGCTCACCTGTTTGAAGGGCGATCAGTTGGATATCACCCATGCAGGTTCCTGTATCGAGACTCCTTTTTGGCAACACAGCTGACAGCAGGTGGCACACTTCTCTTTGTGTCCGTAGATTAAGCGGATACCTAAATCGGGACGTGTTGCCATCTACTTTGACTGGGCCGAGAATTTGTATTGCACACCCAGATGCTCTTTGGTGGTCCCTTGTTCTAGACACTGTGGATGGACAAAATCCTGCACCACCGAAACCATGGGCAATCATTGTTTGTTGGTATTTGCAGGGGAATCGAATCATTCCAGGCAATCTGAACGGTGGTGCGGCACGGATTTCGCAGCCATCCAAAGTATCACCTTAATCCGCGCTGAAGGAACAAAAAGTTCCGCTCCTTTCTTTAAAGGCGGTGGAGATGGTTTTTTCAGTGTTTTTTTAAAAGGGAAACAACAAAAACATTCCTTTCTTTGGGGGCGCTGGGGATGGTTTTTCTGTTTTTTTCTCCCCCAGGAAAACAAAGATCGATCGATCCAAGGCGCCTCCGGAAGATCGGAGCCAGCCCCTGGCCTTCATGGAGCACCTGGTGACCTTCATCATCATCGCCAACGCAGCGCCTCGGGCGAAGCGGGGCGCTTCGCGGGGCTTCGGGGCGCGAATGGCGGGGCCTAAAGGTGGACTTGGGGCGGCCTGGGCCCAGAAATGGACATCTCTTGGTTCCCAGGACATGAATTGGGAGAACCCCGGCGCCTATGGTTTCTTTCCGGTTCCAGCCAGCAACTTTGTTTTTTCTTTCAAAAGGACGCCAAAAGGAGATGGTCGAAGGATTTTCCGAATACACCGTTACACCCTGGGATCACTGGGGAAGTTTCCCCAAATATCCCCAAATGAACCAGGATAACCGGGTTTGATCTGGAAATAGGCTAAAATGGGGTGGTTCCCCAGAGTGCGCAATCCTGATGGTTAACCAGGTTTCTCTAAAATGGGATATGGAGCCCCGCAAATTTGTTTTGTGTGTCCGTTTTTTTCCCTCAAATAACCCGCCCACGTGTTTTCCCTTGAAACCATCGCCCCAAAAGGACGTTTCAATCGGAAACCAGCGACATCCGCCCATGTTCAATCACCCCATGGGCCTCATGGACCCGGAGTTCCGAACCCGATTGAGCGGCGAGCGGCTCCATCGATCGGGGTGGAAACAAAGGATCTATGGTGGACCAGGGTTCGACCGGGCATGTGAGCAACTGCCACTATTGGTGGTCTACTGGTGGTTTAGGGGCATGGCCAACAACGGGGGGACAGCCTAGTTTGCCCAGGTGTTCGGAACATTGTTTGTTGGTCATGGGCTTTTCAGGACATGGAATCAGTCTTGTTGAAAGGCTCGGCGCTTCAAGCCCAATCTGCCAAGCCTGAGCGGCAGTGCATCCAGAGTCGCTTCTACACAAGTTTGAAGTCAGCCAGTGCTGCCCGCCCTTTTTTGAAAACGATTGCTGTTGGCCGTGTTGATCGTACCGAGCATACAAGTTTTGCCAGCAAACTCTGCACTCTTTTCGAGCATTGCGCGCCTTCCCGGACCGGACGAGCCCTGGTCACATCGCAACAAAAGATGTTGTTGCAATTGAGCCGTGCTTGCTGCTGCTTAGGTATCCACTTTTACATCTGTCCGTTTGACCCTTGTGCGAAGGGAAGTCAGCCCATCTTGGGGTGCAGGAGAACAGGGTGTTTTGGCACAGGCATTGCCTTCTGGACCAGGCTTGAGGCCTGCGTAGGTGGTAAGGGGGGAGTTCTAGATATCCATGAGTTTCACCAAGCATGCATGACCCCTCCAAGAGGTGTTCACTGTCTTACTTTAACCCAGGGGAGTCGAAAGGCAAACCCGAACCCTCCCTAGCACCCCATTTTTAGATTATTTATATGTCCACGCAATGAAAGCAAGAACGCACATCTACTTACTCCTTTGCAAATAACCTGGTGGCCCCCGGAAAAATATTCCTCAATGTATATCATTTCTGTGGATTCCAAGATGCTGGAATCAGCCATTTCGCAAAGAAGACCTGAGACCCCTCCTTTCTTGGGCGGCTCGATGAGTGACATGGGTGTGGCTCAAAACTAAACCACCAGAAAAAAAACGCACATATTAGTTGTTCTTTCCATCTTACCTCTTAAAAACACAACTTTTCAACTGTTTGGGTAACATGGGCTATATGTCTGTAAAAGATGAGAACTTCCCCAATCCTTGGAGTTTTAAGGGGTAAGCCATTTGCCAGGGTTCCATTTTGGGTACCGATTGTTGACCATGTCTCAAGTCCAACACGCAAATTGACTCTGGGAGCGCTTTGTCCCCCAAACCAACCTGTGGCGCACCAAAAAAAAATGCGTTTGAGTCACGATACGGAGTCCTGTCGCTTCTCATGGTGTGCGTAAAACATGTTGGTGTAGCTTCCATTTGCTGGAATGATTTATGATGGACTTGATTTCACCGCTGGAAATACTGTGGATGGACAAAATCCTGCACCACTTCGAAACGATGGGCAACCACTGTTTGTTGGTATTTGCGGGGAATCATCATTCCAGGGATTCTTAGGTGGTGCAGGATTTTGTCCATCCACCGTATGTTTGTTTTTCTAGGGGGCTGAAGCAAATGGAAGTTGTTCTCTTGAGCCCTCTGGCTTGGCTCAGGTGAGCTTGAGCTTAATGGCGGACCCACTCTACGCAGATTGGAGTGGCTGGCAAGGTGCACCTTGGACCCAACTGCCTTGGGTTCAGTGATCTCTTACGACTCACGACAAATTTATGGCAATTTTGTGGCACATCTTTTTGGTTGAAACCGTCCAAATGTTTGGTTGCATATCTCTTCGGTTGAAACCGTCCAAATGGTCCATGGACCCGCAGAGGGGGCGTTGCAGCAATCAAGACAGGGAAGTGGGCAGAGAGTAGCACTGATTGTGGTCAATGCCATCCATTTGTCTAAAGGTTATGACGAGCCGTGAGCATTCCAAGTGCTATTCTCAACCTTGGCACCAAATGGGAGGTCCCGCCTCAGGTGTCTGTTGGGAGGTTTCAGTCACACAAGCACGAGCATCTTTCAATAGTTCGCTTCTGTCCGGTCAAAACAGAAGAGAGAACCGAAAGGTGAACACTGAACATGAATCAGCCGGGTAGCTTTAGAACAAAGGCACAGCCAAGCAAGCAGTGAGCAAGCAAATAAACAAGCACGCAAACATACAAG